AAGCTTGTGCAACAAGAAAACAAATATATTCGTGTGAAGTTTGTGTTGAAGATAATCCCACTAATCTATCATAAAGTTTGCGTCTACGGCAAAACGAAACGATAAGTAAAACAGGAATCGATATTTGTGTTCAAAATTGGGCTAACCCAAATGCTTCTGATGATTTCTTCTCGCTTTCTATTTGAAAGAATCGGGACTGGTTGTTGTAGCAGATCTTTATTTGGACCACGAAACAGTTGTAGAGCTCGTTCACATACTTACTAGGCCCGTATTCCACCTAAATATACAGAAAATCAGATTTGAATGACATACTTGTAATAGGTAAGTCGAATCGTGAGTTAACGTGTGATAGTAAATGGTGATCGTCGATGTGAATGAAGTATAGAAGGTACAGATAACGTGTCTATTTTGTAAAAGGCTGACGCATAAGGCCTAATTTCCAGCGTTAAATGAAGTACCTGGTTACTTCGTACACATGCAATACTTTTTCTATAGTCCAGCCTTACCTAAATTATGTGCATACTTTACAAGTAGATGTGTGTTTGCGTTGCCCTGTTACTATACTTACGAGTGGTTGATATATTAACAAATATATTACACAGGAGCATTTATATGCTGATAGTATTCATTAAAGCAACATTGTAGCCGACTACGATCTTAGTCCATTATTTACTTTCATCTATCAAACTAGTTGCTTAAGTTCTAATAAAAGTTAATATCACGATAAGATGGCGAATGTTTTCAGTAATTGACAAACTCATGTGACGAAGGCGAACAAAACATTAGGTAGCGAACACCATAATAAAGTTTGCAATCATAAAATGTCGCACTATTTAAGGACTTGGTAACCAGTGTAGATCACCAATATGATCGACATATGTAGATGATCAGGAGCTGTTTTCAGACGGACGTAATGTTCTGTTTGCGTCGAATTCACACCTCATGGTTAATGTAACGTAGATTAGTCTTTTTTCCTATCCAGCTACTATGTCTTCTTTTATAACTGTATAGCACAAACAACGCTATCGCAGAAATATAATAGTGTGAATAAGTAGAAGAAACGGAATGCAACAGCATGTGCCAGTACATGGCTTGCAACTGATTGGCGCGTGTCTGTTGTCCTTGACCTTGACGAATATTGAAAAATAATCAGTGTCCTAACTGCCGGAATATTTAGCTCTGGCACGTGATATTTCATTGACATTACAACTTCCTTCGCTTACTGATGTAACAACCAGTTTGCGCAGTGAAGTTTGAATTTCCTTGAAGTTGATCATCTGGTCACCAAGTCTATGAAGTTATAACAAGATTACCCCAATGATGACTTAAGTCATTAGTTTAATCTCTAGACTTCCAAACAAGCCAGGGTCGTGCTTTAAAGGAATTTAAGAATCAGAGATTTTGCCGTCCTCAACTTATCGGAATGTGACCAATTTCTAACAACCACTAAACATTTATTTTTAAAATTCGTTTGGGGAAAATTGCTTCTTATCAATAAAATCCGAGTATTTTTAACGTTTATAAATCTGGCTTGTTTCCACTCTTCAGACATTTAGGTTGTAATTGGTGTTGTGCTGAACCAAGAATATATCAATTCCGAAAATTACTTATTACGTATACTTATCAAATACTTATTCTACTTGGACGACGACATTCCATTGCATTCCGTGCTTTCCCTTAGATGTCGAGGTCTTCACAATCCAGTCAACCACAAGAGGAAAGAGGAGAGGGGAGAGTAAGCAGCATTGTCTGACTCCGATCCCCACTTGGAATGCGTCTGTCAGCTGTGCTTCATGCATCACTTTTCAGTGTAGTCCGTTGTATGAACTCCGGATGATGTTAACAATTTCTCAGTTGCTCCATAGTGCCGAAGAACATTTCCATAATGTTCTCCTATCCACACTGTCAAATTCTTTCTCATAATCAGGGAAGTCGATGTATAGTGACGAGTTCCATTCAGCTGATTGTTCAACAATGATCCGTAATGTCAGGTCCCGCTGCTTTCCCACTTTTGATTTATCTGATGGACATCCTGATTTCTTCCGTCGTTGGTGGATTGACATGTATAGGAAGGTCTGTAGGTACTGCTTGAATATCCGGGGGATTCGATGGATCCGATCTATTTAAGAGTTCCACGAAGTATTCCACCCACCCGTTCATCTGTCCTTGAATTTCAGTGATTGGCTTGTCTTCCTTGTCCATGACTGGTCTCTCTGGCTCACTGTATTTCCTTGCTAGTTTCTTCGTCGTGTCATATAGTTGTCTGATATTTTGTTCTCTTGCGGCTTTTCTCACTGTCGATGCTATGTCTTTCACGTATTTCTGCTTGTCTGCTTCAATGCTCTTCTTTGTATGGGGATATTGGGCTGTCTATAACCAATTTGTTGAGTGCACACAGGCTTGCAAATCTCTTCCCATTTTCTTTCCTTTATCCCAATCAGTCCATGTCGTCCCATGATATCTTCATATCTGGTGTTGTCCATTCCGACTTTGGCGTTCAGGTCTCCCATCAGGATGGTCAGGTCCCTTCTTGGTACTTCGCTACGACTGATTGCAGTCTCTCGTAGAACTGATTTTTATCGTCGTCATTGCTATCGTTGATGGGTGCATAACATTGGATGACATACGTCGTGATTCTTTCCATTTTGTTTGCTTCCACGTTATTCAAATATTCCACGTACCTACATTGTTTACTGCTTTGACTTTTATATTGGCCGTCGTCCTTATAAGTGTCAAAGAATTTCGGCTTTCACCATAAAGCGTTATGATTTTTCTAAAAGAACATGTTACCACCCTGATGGTTGTGTTTAAATAGTTTATGTTACTTTTTCTGGTCAGCGTTTTTCTCAGGCAACTTTTATATATCGGCTGCGATTGCTTACTGAATTCATAATTCTCCTCTTTTGTGCATATTGAGATAATGGGAATATCACTGTGATCTTTCAACCTCGATGGCAAACATATTGGACTTATTTTGTTATAACAGTAGGGAATTGAGAACAGTGAGCCTATATGTGCAGCAGTGTATTTGTGAGGGATAATCAATGTGTCATGTTATGGGGAATTCAAAACGGAAACGGTAAATTTAAGATCGTGTGTATTCGATTAACTATTTTATAGTCAATTATACTAATTGCCCCAGGTATGAGAACAAATGAAAGAAATGCAAATAGTAACGAAAACTGGTTACAAAATAAGTCTGTTCCAACTACTTTCACAGTGTTACACTGTATCCAGCTTCATATCTTGGATGGATTCCATTCCAGTGAGTAGGCAATCGCTGATTTTCGGTGTCTTTTCAAACAGAAATCAGTCTGGATTTCCGATTGCTGGGGATATGTTGGCCGCTGCAAAGAGGATGAGGTTGTGGTGGGCCAGACGATATATACGCAAAAAGTATCAACAAAGTTAATAAAGACCAATAGTAATAATAATATATACCAGTTAAATTTTACAAATACAATAAAAATGGGACTTTACTTAAGTTCACCCAAAATGATGCGTGTTCGACTTTAGTCTGGTACAATAAATCCAGAATTATAGATGCTTGGTAATTCCAAACGTATCGATGAACTCTCCAGTGGTGTAATCCAAAGTAAGGTATAGTGTATTCGCACTCACAGTCTATGAATGTAAATAATATTTGTTTTAGATCTCAGCTAACTCAATCACGAATGAAAATAGAACGAGGAATGTGTAAGAAGCAGTGTATTTGTTAGCCAGCAACGGTATGTCACGCTATGAAGTATCACAACGGAAAAAGTCTTCAAGGTCATTTACTAGAACAACAGGTACAATCGTTTGATGATAAATGTACATGTAGTGAGAAATTGACAAAATAAATACCAATAATATTAAAAACTATTTACAAAATAAGCTTGTCAGGCCTATCTCCATAAGAACATGTTACCACCCTGATGGTTGTGTTTAAATAGTGTACGTTACTTTTACTGGTTAGCGTTTTCTTCCGCTGCTTGTTATTCACCAATTCTCCTCCTTTGTTTTTCATCGGGATTCACAATAAATCAAGAAGAGCTACGAGATGAGTGAGTTCTGCATTAGTCTCTGATAAATTATCAAGGCTTGTAGTCACGCTGATATCCGGATCTTTCCAAGTTTACATTCAGTTATTGGTCGTCCTAAACTCCATTATTTTATACAATCGGCCGGCCCTCGTCTCAAAAGAGATGTTATTATGTTTGAAAATTTAGATATTCCAAACCTAGTTTGTCACTGAAACCCCAAAGTCTATTTCATTTATCATTAAATAGGCTTAGAGGCAACTTGAACATGCTTCACGCAGGTTAATAACAACGTTTCATCCTGATGATGTCACAGGTATTCAGTGTTTGACAACGCTTCTACCAGTAACACCTTCTAATATATTTCGTTCTCGCCCAGAGAAATCAAAAGACAGAGTCGAGGAGATCGGAAGAGTATATTTGACGATGACCAATATATCGGAATTCTCTGATCTAATCTGGCTAGCGATTGCGGTTGATGTTGAGCACGGCGTTACCACACGTGATCTGGTGCGGATGCTTGACCGAGCGCTTTCAGCTAGATGAGTCCACTAAAACATATGATCAGCATCCAATGTCGAAAACTTACAGAGCTATTTATTTTGGGGATTTATTTACCGCTACAATCCGATGTCTTTATTTTTCTCGTTCTCTTGAGCAGAAGTCCACAAAGATAGTTGAGGAATGTGCACAAGTATAGAGTCAGTTTCTTGATATATGACTATCGACTTCCACATAAAAAAGTTAACCCGTTGGAGCTTTAATTTGTTTGCTGTTTTATGCAGTGGACGTTTTAAAAGATAATTGTCAATCAAGATTCCAAAACTGATACTGAAACCTCAAAGAATTGTTTTGTAGATTTCTGTTCCTATAATATAGTCGCTAAATCGAAACAATAAATCAAAACACAGACCGTTCTCGCTTTGTCACGAATGTTTACGATATTGGACATTGTCTAACCTTTAAATGCTTCAAAGTTTTCAATATTTTATTTGCTTGCATTAAAGCACGTGGACGTTTTGAATATTGCGTACTTGTTTTCGTGTTGCCTTAGAATATGGGGAAATCCAAGAAAGAAAACAAGAGTAGTAACGCTACTGAATCAGTTACACTGAAGAAGGAGGTTTCAGTGTTACAGGGTGTGAGTATTGTCGTCGGTGTTATCATTGGTTCTGGTATATTTGTTTCACCTGTCGGAGTTCTGAAACATACTAAATCCGTCGGATTGTCATTTATTATGTGGACTATCACTGGATTATTCAGTGCATTAGGTAAACCACCACGCTTATTGATCTTATTTAGACGAAGGCGCCATCGTGTACGCTGAACTAGGTGTTACTATTCCTCGATCTGGTGGAGAATATATATACATACTCCAGACGTTCGGACCTTTACTTGCCTTCCTATCTTTCTGGATTACATTCGTCGTAATTGGATCTGCAAGTTGTGCGGCAAATGCACTTATTTTCGCCCAGTATATTCTTCGACCTGTTTATATGGACTGTGTTACTCCTCCTATCGCGATACGCACCGTTGCAGTGCTAGGACTGCGTAAGTGTTACATAATTTTATTTCCGAATCAAGTTCTTCTTTGCTTTGTGCACTGTTTTAGCGTTAAACTGGCAACGAAAGTCGCTGTTGTTTTCACTGCTTGTAAGGTTATAGCTTTACTTATCATAATTGGTTTCGGCCTCTACTATCTGGGAAAAGGTAAGGTAAACTTCCATATGTAACTTTTATATAAGTCTTTGCTTCGTTTCCTGACTACCCCTTGTTGTTTTAAATAGGCAATGTTGAGAGTTTCAAAGACCCCTTTGAAGATAGCGAAAAATCACCCGGTGAACTTGCATTGGGTTTTTACCAAGGGTTTTGGGCTTTTTCTGGTTGGTAAGTTGTCTGAATGTCCCGTTTTATTTATTAGCTAAGTGTGATCATGTAAAAGCCTCGTTTGTTATGTTAATTGTAGACTGGTAATAGTTTTAGCATACTTAAATGCCAAACTTTTGTCTTAGTAAATTGTGAATCACATCTTTTGTTTTCTAAAATCCAGAAAAGTACTTCGTGTATCAGAAAAAATTTTCTGAATTAATTTTCATACAGTTTACTATACGTTGATATAATTATATACTAACTCTTCAGTCTTCAGTCAGTCAGTCTTCAGTAATAAGGATAGTAGGTTGATGAACCTGTATTAATCCTGACGCACTGCTTTCCAGTGAAGGTCCAGCTTCTCCTTGAAAGTATTCACTGATGGGGCTGATACCACTTGTTCGGGTAAGGCGTTCCAATGATTGACTACTCGATGAGAAAAACGGAACCCCACTTTAAGTTTATTAGATCTTGGTTTATGAACCTTGCTATGACCGCGGAGATTACTAGTGCTGGAGGGAGCAAAAAGATAAGACATATTAACACCCAAATCATAATTAAGGATACGAAATGCCAGTATAAGGTCACCTCGTGTCCTACGATACGACAAGGGGAAAAGATTTGGGCGTTTTAAATGCTCATCGTAAGGGAGTCTAGAAAGACCCTTCATTAATTTCGTTCCCACACGCTGGACACGCTCAAGGGAGTTAGTATCCTTTACCAAACATGGGCTAGCTGCTTGGATACAGTACTCTAAGTGTGATCTTACATAGGTGGGATATAAAATTCGAAACGTTTCATCGTCAAAAGATTTGAACGCTCGGCGAAGTGACCATAACGCTCGAAAACCTTTGACAGCGGCTGCTTTGCAATGCGCAGTTGTTTTTAAGTCATGACTTAATATTACTCCTAAGTCTTTATGCTCTTGAACGCATGGAAGAGGTTTACCCTCAATAGTATAACGGTAACTATTACCGTGACCGATGTGCAATAGTACACTCTTCCTGGCATTGATTTCTAAGCCCCATTCTCGATCCCATCTAACTAAATCGTCTAAGTCAGCTTGAAGATCCAGATGATCAGCCGCACTTTTTATTGTTCTCCAGATTTTTACATCATCCGCAAACAATAATGTCGACGACCTAAGTAACAGCGGTAATTCATTAACGTAGAGAAGGAAGAGCAGGGGGCCTAAGATGGTGCCTTGGGGTACACCACTTTTGACCGGCTTCCAATCGGATAGCGTTCCGTTAACCCTCACTCTCTGTCTGCGGTCACATAAGAAATTTCCTATCCACTCATGTACAGTACCTATTATTCCGAAGCTCTTGAGCTTCTGCATAAGACCTACGAGTGAAACCTTGTCAAACGCTTTGCTAAAATCTATGAATATCACGTCAACAGACAGACCGTTATCTAGGGCTGCTGTCCAATCCTCCCTCGCAATAAGCAAGTTAGTCAAGCAAGAACGCTTGTTACGAAATCCGTGTTGCTCAGGAGCTAACAGATTGTGTAAATCTATGTGGCTTAGCAACCTAACCCTAATTATCTTTTCAAGTAACTTAACGACTATACTAGTTAGACTAACAGGCCGGTAGTTAGATACTATATGTCTCTGACCGTCCTTGAATATAGGACTGACTATAGCGTCCTTCCAATCTCTAGGGAGTTGAGCGAGTGAAAGGGACATGTTGAAGAGTTTCGCGAGCGGTTTGGAAATAATGTCCGCAAGAGATGACAGCAACCGTGGATGTAACCCGTCAGGGCACGGTGTCTTACCAGGTTTGAGGTTAGTCATCAACGGAAGGACAGTTTCCTCAGTCACCTGTACAGATTCCATGGTTGGTATCTCGGTGTGAGTGGGACAAGTATTTGTTACAATAAACGTGGAGAAGACTTCGCTAAAATAGTTTGAAAAAGTCTCAGCTTTTGCTCGATCTGATTCAGCTAGTAATTCTGAATTTTCGTGTAACAGTAACGGGGGAATACCATCACTACGTTTCGTCCGCCGTTTAACATACGAAAACAATCGTTTCGGACAAGTACGGCTGTCATATACTAACTGTCGTTCGTAAGTGGTACGGGATTTGGCTATGGTTTTCTTACAGATATTACGGAATTTTCGGTACTCACGCTTAAATGGTTCATGACCTGTCAACAAGAATAAGTCCCAGAAATGTTTCCTACGCTTTAACAGCTTCCGGGTTTCCTTATTAATCCATGGAGGGCAATGTGATAGCTTACGTGCTGACCATGGGATAAACGGCGACGTTACGGACTCGAATGTAGCCTTAAACTTATTTCATTCATCTTCGATCAATCCATCCGCGTCGACCGACCAATCAGTCGAGATAGCATAGTTTCTGATCACCGGAATATTGGCTCGCCAAATATTGGGACGGGGTGGAGCAGATACGAATTGTATACCATGTGTCCTAAACTTAAAGTGAATTACAACGTGATCACTGTTCACTAGTGGGGGAAGGTGCTGAATATCAAAAACATCCTCACAGTGGTGGGTGAGGGCGAGGTCCAGCAGTGACGGATCATGATTGAAATTAATATGTGTCGGTTTTGTGATACATTGTACAAGCGCACACTGAATAACGGTAGATAAAAGGTCGCTATCGAAACCACTACCTGGAGCTGTAAGCTCTATCCAGTTGATATGCGGTGCGTTGAAGTCCCCAATGATGAGACAACATTCTGCCATACTCCAAGAACAAATGTGTCTGAGGATAAACTCGTCAGCAAGACAAAACGGACTACGGTATATTCCCCCTATAGTCACTAACCCACTTCTAGATTTAATCTTACAACATGCAACCTCACATGTGCCACTGATCAAATCGCCTCTAGTTCTACGATATGACGACGTGGAAAGGGTTAGCTTGGCCAGTCGAGCATCGTATGGAAGCTTCGCTATTCCGGGAATCAGTTTAGTTGCTTTTCTCTGAACCTTTTCCAGAAGCTCACTGTCTTTTTCTAAGCAGGGGCTGGCCGCTTGTATGCAGTACTCAAGTTTAGGACGTACGAACACTGTATACAAAGTCAAAAAACGTTTTAGCGTCGACATGACTAAAGACCTTACGTATTGATCATAAAGTTCTAAAACCTTTGGCGGCTATTACGCGGCATTGTGCAGTAGTCTTTAGGTCTTGGCTAACGATGACTCCTAAGTCATTATATGTCTGGACGATAAGTAGCTTAGTGTTATTCATCGTGTATGTATCTGTACCTTGATGACCAATATGCATCACGACACACTTGGAAGTATTTATCGGCAACTGCCATGTTTGAGACCATTCAGATAATTTCTTCAGGTCATTTTGGAGTTCTGAGCTATCACCCTTACATCGTATCGTTCTCCATATCTTGACATCGTCTGCATATAGCAAGACCGATGATGATAGGAGACAAGGAAGGTCATTTACATACAAGAGGAATAGCAGTGGCCCCAAAACTGTACCCTGAGACACTCCACTAAGCACAGTTTCCCAGCTAGATTACTTAGAGTTCACCTGTACTCTTTGTTGACGCCCAACTAAGAAGTCTTTTATCTACATCAATAGATTGCCTTCAATCCCGACATTTCTTAACTTATATAACAGCCGGTTGTGCGGGACTTTGTCAAAAGCTTTACTGAAATAAATGAAGGCTACGTCTACAGGTAGCTTCTGGTGCTTAAGAGCGCACCAGCTTTCACGAGCCACTAATAAGTTAGTGAGACAAGAGTAACCTATTCTGAAGCCATGCTGCTTCTCCGAAAGGAAACGCTTTTCATCGAGGTACTTAAACAGCTCATTCCGAATAATCTTTTCTAAGATTTTAACAACCACACTAGTTAGGCTAACGGGTCAGTAATTCTCAGGTTTGTGTTTCGTACCTGTTTTGAAGACAGGACTTACTATGGCGTTTTTCCAGTCTTTTGGTAAACGACCCTGCGTAACGGATAGGTTAAAGCATATACTTAAAGGGTTCACAACGAAGTTAGATAGTTCCTTCAATAGCCTAGGATGTAATCCATCAGGCCCCGTGGATTTACCTATGTCAAGCTTATTTAGTAGACCAAAAACATCGAGTTCTTTAATGATCACACTATCCAGTGTATGTATGGGGGGATCTGTATACGTTGACGGGAAGGGTGCTTCTATGGTATATACATTGCTAAAGTAGTTCGAGAACACTTGAGCCTTACCAAAGTCGTCCTCCACTAATGATGCGGCAGTACTGTCTCCCCATAGAGCAGGAATATTTCCTTTTCTCCTTGTCCTTTGATTTATATAGGAATACAGGCGTTTAGGACATTCTATGGATCCCTTAACAAGGTTTTCTTCGTACAACTTTCTAGACTTACGGAGGGTCGAGGCACAGATATTCCGAGCTTTTCGATACTGAGATTTTGTCTCATCGGTCCCCAGTAACCGAAATCTGTCTCACATTTTTCTTCTCTTACGGAGAAGGATGCGGACCTCCCTACTGAACCACGGTGGGGAGTTTCTCGGTCCCCTTGGTATAGTCCAATGGATGCGGGGTGTGGTAACTTTTAAGTATGAATTTCGAAATGCGTCCCAGGCCGTTTCAATTGAGGACTCTGGGTCTATTGTCCAATCTACTAACGGTGCTGAGTACATGATATCTGGTGTGTTTGCTTTCCAGACGTTAAGTCTGGATTGGGCTGACGCGTGCTCATGACTGACAGTTATATGGAAGTCGAAAGTTAAAACTGCGTGACCACTTTTATCTAGGGGTGGCATATAATGGAGGTTCGCAACGTCATCCTCATAGTGAGTCAGTATAAGATCTAGTAAGGATGATTCAGTGTCCGGGTCGTACCTTGTCGCTTCTTTCACATGTTGCACTAAGGCACATGTGATAGCCGCATCAACTAGTTCCTGCTCGAAGGAATTTTTTGACGATTCAGTTCGCAGATTTTCCCAGTCTACCATTGGTGCATTAAAGCCCTCTAGGATTAGACATCGACCACTTTGTGACCAAGTATTGAGACTGCTTAACAGGACCTCATTTACCTCAAAGCTTGGACTGCGATAGACCAAACCAATCAGCAGCTCTTGACCCTTGCATTTCAAGCGGCAACTAACTAATTCACGCGTCACACTCACATGCGATACACTGTCGATAATGGCAAATGGGATAGCATTCTTAATGAATAGAGCTACTCCCCCTCATTTACGCTTTTGTATTCTGTCGGCCCTTACTAACGTAAAACCCTCGAAAACAAGTTCCATACTATCTATAGCCTGTGTCAGCCAGGTTTCTGTAACTGCGATCATGTCTGGCTTTGTAGAGTCAATCTGTACACCTAGTTCCGATCGCTTATTAAGTAAGCTTCGGGGATTAGTGTAACAGATCCGAAGCCTATTTAAGTGGCTTCGTGCTTCATCCAGAGTGGCTTCCGCATCATTTTGTGTCGAAGCCTTACAACCCGAAAATTTAAAATTTTCAGGTCCTTTTCCCCAGCGTCTAACCTAAGTTGTAGTTCTTTTTCGGCTTCCCGTCTTTTAACATGGTCTGCCAATGGCAAGTCCTTACGGATAAAAACTCCTGAACCCTTTAAATCATGCCCATTCTGTAAAGTTAGATCGCGTTCGTTCGAAGATTTGAATACTACTTTAAGCAGTCTGGATTGATTTGGTTTCAAGTTTGCTAGACTACCTGATCTGTACACCTTTAGCAAGGTGACCTCGGTGATATTTTGAGGCATGATTTGATTAAGCAGCTGTTTAATCGGCACAATGTCATGCTCAAAACGAGCTTTTGGTTCAGAGCTCTCACTCTCCTTGATTCTATGAAAAATAGCTGATCTGTCGCTGTAATCAGCTTTCGATTTTTCAACTACTTTTACGGGTGCAGGATCCCCTTTTATATCGCTACGTTGTTTCTCCCTTACAACTTGTGCCCATTCGTCAACGGTGCTAGGAGAAGCAACAACAGTTGCGTCAAACCTACTGTTGGATTCCGGAGGGTTGTCGACGACCTAGGAGGTCAGGTTGTGTTTCCCGCTAGAAACCGATCGAGCCTTGCGATTGCGGCTTCTAGGCGTTTCCTGTTGGATGCCATTTGGAAGACGGGGAACAGAAGAACCTTCTTTTCTTGAGTTTTTGTTTAAGACAAACCTCTTTGGAGACTGTCTTTCCTTCTTTGACCGGTGTGAGTCACCTATTTTCGAACTTGAACTGAACCTTTTGAAAGCCGCAGGCGTTAAGTTCGTGCAAACCTCGTGGTACTAACCTTTGTACTCATCGCACTGCATGCCGCTTTCAACAGGATAACGACAACCCCGGCGTTGGGGACTGCTTTTTTGCACTGTCCGGTCATTAAAAAGGTGTCCTTTTCAAAAAACGAGCGAGATGCAATAATCCTCAGAGACAAAAAATGATCTATGACCAAAAGGGTGGAGAACTGTAGATTGTTAGGACCAAAAGTACTAACAGATACAGTAGAAAATAAGGTACTCAAGAGTACCGACGATAAACTAATTGAGAAACAGTAAACGATACTCTAGTCGAATACTTTAACTGAAATAAATTCAATTAAAGTGAGAACAGTAGTCTTGATACGTAATAAACGATCAAAACAATAAAATTTCCTCAGCGAGGAAAAATACCACTGTCCTTTTTAATTAGCGCGCGTGTAGCATCTCTTAAGTAGATTAGTAATGTCAATTCATTAATAGCTAGGTGATGATAATCTGTTTCCGTCTATTAGCTTTACTGTTCTACATAAATTTGTGCACAAGCTGTCTTAAGCAGACATAAATTCATCCCTTTAGGCAATAAAGATACGTGGTTCTCAACCCACTTATGTTATGTCATCAGAAAGTAAAGCCGGACAACTTGAAATTCCCATTCGTCTTTCGTGAATTCACGCGTACTGTAGACATCAGTGTAAATAAGAGTTACGGGTTTTTCTGGCTTTGGTATCGCACCGGTTGATTGGGTCTCCAGTAATAGTCGGTCACGTGCTGTTAAATTAGAAAGTCCGATCAAAGTGCTAGGAAATCGGTTTGAGGAATGATGTCTTTCCTTCATCGTCTACGCTCCGACAGGACGCAGCCCGGATAGGTATGCCCAGGTCAGGCGTTTAGGCAAAGAAGAGAGTCGGTTAGGTGGCTGATGGGGACTTGTTGGTCGCATGTTAGATAATGGTGACTGTCTACTACAACTTTGTGCAGACTATAACCGGATTCTAGCTGCCACTAACTATCAAAACATTCATCGATGATGTGCCGCCTGGCGTCCTCCCCCGTATCTGAAGCAAGGACTCAGATTGATCACATCGCAATCAGATATGACTGGCGTGGGTATGTACAAAACTACCACCCTTTCGAGGTACCTATCTGGACTCTGAACATGCCCTTGTTTGCGTTTCAGTGACCAACAAATTCATCGTTGTAAACGGACCGATGTCAGCAAATCGGTCGAAAATTCTGCTGCAACTAAATATCAAACTGAGCTAGGTTCAAGGCTGGTTATCAACCAATCGAAACGTATTGTTGAGCATCGGCTACAGTTGTATGACCCCATGAAAATAGCGAGTAAAGTCGCTTGCGGCTTTGCAAAACATCCCGCTTATAAGCACTTTTTTCAGGCTCCTTACAACTTGTTGAAGCACGTCGGTTTGTTTCGGGTACCGCGAATGTGAGCATAAATGAAGATTGTTACGCAGCTAATTTGTGCAAAGTTTGAGTAAGGAATGAGAGGTCTGGTGATTGTAGCGTGCTAACGAGTTAGAACTCCAACCCTTGAAGCACTACAAATCATCAGCCCAAGATGACGTACCTCCGGCCTTTTGTAAAGTTGGTGGCGATCTTCTAGTTGTGGAATTGACTGAGTTATTTTACAAAGGCCTGGTAATTACAGAGTGTTTCAACATCGTGGAATGAGTCGATAGTTGTTCCTATCTTCTAAAAGGATTCATGTCGTTTCTGCAACAACCATCGAGGGATAACTTTACATCCGGTCGCTTCCAAACCGTTGGCTTCCGTCATACTTCGTAGATTTTTCAAAACCCGAGAAAGATTGACTCTCGTGGAGTAGGCTGGTTTTCGCTGTTGTCGAGGATGTATTGATCACATCTTCACCTTCTGGAGTCTTAGAGATGGTGCAATATAATAGCTAGAGACATTATCAGACAAGACGCAAAATAGAAGCCAGTTGCGATCCTGTTGTAACTTTCTTTTACTTTCTTGATAAGAAATAAACGTAACTTCCTTAACTGAAAGAATTTTTCTAGTCGTATTGTTGCTAACTGAACTCTTTCTCCTATTATTATTATTATTATTATTATTATTATTATTATTATTATTATTATTATTATTTCACTCTAATACACTAATTCCTGTTCATTATTGTTATTTTTTTATTATACTCAATTTACATTCTCTATCTCTTAAAAACCACATTGTTATTGAATGGAGCATGTATTTGATGCCCCCTTGAACCAATGTTTATATGTTTAAATAAATAAATAAATAAAGTCTCATGTGTTCTGAATTTCACCCAAGTAAGTTGGAAAAGAGATGGCCTTCCAGATCCATAATAAGTCCGCAACATACTTTTTTGAGTTATTGACAAAGTATGTTCATATGAGTTATCCAAAAAACAGATATTTGGGGGAGTATTTAGTTTAAATATTTCAATTTATTTTGCACTTTATGTCTTGTTGAACATGACTAGAAAATGAGACATCAGGTTGTTTGATCCGTTTGGATTGTATTCTTATTTGTTTTGTAGGAATTATCTCAACTTTTTGACAGGAGAAGTAAAAAATCCTGGGAGGTACGTAATGATAGTTTATTTATCCTTATTCATCTGATCATATGTATAACTATCAATCTAAATAGAACAAAAGGGGTGGTTTGAAAATAAAAAATGGTTTGACAGTAAACACTGAAATACCTCAGTTATTCGTAAAGTAGTAAATCTATAAATGCTTTATATTTCCTCTGCGAGTTGAATTTTTCATATTTTCGTTTCTATCTACATATTGTGCTATGTTGCAAAGTTGAAACTCTAGCCAGGTGTTCAAAACATCATACCTCGGACATGAAAAAAATGTTCAAATCCATTACATACTTTTATCTGAATTTGCGAGTAGTACCTGTCCCCATAATATTAGTTGTACATAGACTAGTATGTAAACCTGTGTTAAAAAGTGTGGATCTTATTAAACAACGATAGTCCATTAACCATTCTAAATGAAGTGACTTACAAAGGCAAACAGAAGATAAATGAAATCAAAGACGTTATGTATACTGAGAAAGTTGAGTGTGAAAAGTTCTGTGTTATTTTTACCGGTAAAATATATTGTTTTCTGACCAAAACTGCTGCAAGTTACAAGTGTATAAAACAGCTCGCAGCATCCATATTAAATAGTTGAATGATGTCAAGCATTATGGTACTCAGATTACTTCAGTAACATAAATGAAGTCAAATTAGTTACCGTAAAGGCACTTGAGATCTACATTCCAAGTTATTGGCATCATATAGTGAAGATATTTGTAATGAACACTAAGCCTTCGCTAGTTGTAAAACTGTTTAATTAAACAAGTTAATTTGACTTTTTATACACAGGACACTACCAATCGTAATTATACTCTCACTCACAACAGTAACGCTCATCTACATTTTGACCAATGTGGCCTACCTTGCAGTTTTATCACCATTAGAAGTTCTTGCCTCAGAAGGTTCTACTGCAATAGCTGTGGTGAGTATTTTCTCAATATTTCACGAGTCTATTATGAATATTTAATGAGTTAAATACTACATCAATTCATGTTCTTTAATATTTTATGAAAAAGTAAACTTTTTTGAAGTGCTTCACTATTATTTGATCGTTTGAATAGAAACAGGTAGTTTTTTCTAGAATTTTAAAGTCCCATCCACAAAGCTCCAAGGCAATACTGCGATTCGTATTCATATTGTACCCGGGATTCAGTGGTATTATATGTGCCTTTTTATTTAGTCCCGAAGTATACATTTGACATTGATTCTAAATCAGGATTTTGTAGTGTCTAATGCAAAACTGCAACGACGTCCATCGTAGGTCTGAAGTGAATACCAACGTTGCAAAAATAAAGTGTTCCTCGGTAAAGGACATGCTAGGTAGCTATATGACAGTTATTTGAGTGACAGGTTGATGTTCTTAGTAACTCGTGGCATAGAACGAATATTATCAAAATAATTGGATGATTTGTCTCATCAGGATTGTAGAGTAAAGTGCTTTACATAAAAGTCAAGCGACCTCTGCCCTTGACAACCATTTCTATTGTACAAATTCTCTATATGTTGTTACCTCGCATATATCCAACTTGCCAGACTGTCCCTGAAAATAAGCACCCTAAATTCAAAACACAATTAACCATTAATAAGAAATACCATATCTTCAATTTATTTGAAACTATCAAGTGAAAAACTCAGCCTATAGCTGTCGTAGAGTTCTGCTGGTCACAAGCCCGGGTAAAGGCGAAGGGTTGGGCATGGGATAAAAAAATCAGGATGGAATTACAATGAATGTTATCGAATGTTATGCACCCATCAACGATAGCAATGACGACGATAAAAATCAGTTCTACGAGAGACTGCAATCAGTCGTAGCGAAGTGTGCAAGATAGGAATTCACCATTCTGATGGGAGATCTAAACGCCAAAGTCGGAATGGACAACACTAGATATGAAGATATCATGGGACGACATGGACTGATTGGGATAAAGGAAAGAAAATGGGAAGAGATTTGCAAGCCTGTGTGCACTCAACAAATTGGTTATAGACAGCCCAATATCCCCATACAAAGAAGAGCATTGAAGCAGACAAGCAGAAATACGTGAAAGACATAGCATCGACAGTGAGAAAAGCCGCAAGAGAACAAAATATCAGACAACTATATGACACGACGAAGAAACTAGCAGGGAAATACAGTGAGCCAGAGAGACCAGTCATGGACAAGGAAGACAAGCCCATCACTGAAATTCAAGGACAGATGAACGGGTGGGTGAAATACTTTGTGGAACTCTTAAATAGATTGGATCCATCGAATCCCCCGGATATTCAAGCAGTACCTACAGACCTTCCTATACATGTCAATCCACCAACGACGGAAGAAATCAGGATGTCCATCAGATAAATCAAAAGTGGGAAAGCAGCGGGACCTGACAATATACCAGCCGAAGCACTAAAGCCAGGTATAAGAGCAACTGCAGACATGCTTCACGTTCTATTCAGGTATCGCAAACTGTTTGACGAAGTAACATGTTTGACATGCAAAACGACTAGTCGACACATGTATGAAATTAATCGGATTGGTGGTATCAAATTACAATACATTAGTGGAGTACGCAGTTCACTCTTTATGTAGAATTTCTGAACACTGCATACAGCGATAGGGGAATATCTGGGATACATTTTCCTCTATAAATGTGTATATTTGAATGTTTATTCCAACTATGGGGAAGAAACCTAGTAGAGTATACTGATCACTTAGCTGAACTTAGAAGTTTTATAAACCCTAGTTGGTTGGTAGCTGACGGATTTTCGTTATGAATACAACAAACCTCGCTTAACATCTGCCGACTTATGTTACTGTTTTTGGAGGCAAGATATATGTCTAGTTATCAGAGAGCGAGTAAACCGTATAACAATTCACCGTCAATCAAGTATTAGCACTTCTTTAATTTTCACCACGTTGGTCTATTTTCCCTATAGTTTACAGTGAATCGAACTGATGCACTCTTACACCACGATTCACTTTGATAATGACTGACTAAGTCAAAAATACATGTATACTGTCATGATAAAGATCAAAATAATCCCTGATTATGTGTAGCTCCATTCTCAACGAAAATAATTGTATCTAATTTTACAAAGCCCAAACAGATTTATAAGATGTCTGTTCCTCACTGTTCTCAAAACTGTTGGTCAAATATCCTGGTTAGAAAAATAAAAGACTTTATTTATGTGGATAGTTAATTTTTTGCAGCATCCATGATTTATTTTGTTTTCATAACAATTTTTCTACTTTCCTCTGAACAAAACAAATGTAATTTTTTTGTAAATACACTTACACACCAGTTTACACAACTCGAAAATTTTCATATATCCTCGTATATCTTCTAAACTTCGTATAGAGCTTTGCATCAAGAACCATGGGGGTTGTGGGTTTGGTAATGCCAGCACTTGTGGGTGCTTCAGTCTTTGGCAGCATAAATGGTGAGGTATTCTCTATTTCCCGGTAAGCGTTTTACCACTTTTGTCCTCGTTTTTGTTAAATTCACTGTTAACTATTATTCTATAAACATTCCACAGTTTATTGAAACACTTGCTTCATTATCAATAGTCTCCATTTGTCGCTGTATCTTTGCATAATAATATACCCTAGTAAACAAAGTTCCTTACGAAACCAATTTGGCGAGTTTGCGCTGTAAATACCGAATATTTTAGGAACTTTTGACAATTCGAAGAGATCTTAGCCAGATTAAACGTAACTGGAATTAGGACGCTAGTAAGGAAGTATTGTTTTCCGACCAGAAGTGATTGGGGTCAACGACAATGCAGGAATTTAGTGAACTTGACATCAAGTAGTGGGAAACATTACTTTCAATAACCAAGTTTTCCTTTTTCTTCACATTTTACTCGGCTTCAAATGCTCAATTAAATATCAGTAATAATAAAACCATTAAGAACGAACATAGATGTTTTGGGGGGATTTATTTAGCCATTTATTGTTATTTTCAGCTGAATACAGTTACCCCACGAACCTATTTTAGCAATAGAAAACAATTAGGTTGAAAGCAACAAATTCTGAGATCAATACTTTGCGTCAGCTTTCCGGTTAACTGTTATACGAATCCCGAAAGCTCAGATGTCATTAGGTGAACTAACCTAACTACCACCTTAGAGATGACTGTGAAATGACAAACATTTTATATATTTGTAAATTACTGAAACGGTCTTTATGGCATTAATTATAGTAATAACAATCTCCCTCTTGAGTAAATCTTGAAGACAGTAAACACGACAAACTGAAACAGATTGTAGGCCTGGTACCAAGGACTCGTATAAGAAATTATAATTAGATATCATCTGAGGTAAATTTGTCAAGGTATATCTACTCTTTATCTTTTCAACCTTGTCGATGACTTCTGCATGTAAGTACGTCAGGTATCTCTGACTTCCTACTTGGATATATTCGAATGAATATACTGTGCACAATCCATTCCACATCTCAAATACAGTGTTGCTTACTAGATGACCTTCACTTACGCTTAAGTCCAATCACAGATAATGACAGTTAATGGCACCAACCATTTCTCTTAGCAGCTCCGCCAGTTCTAGTGACTACTGAAATACTAGTATATATTTGATGAAAGGCGTTATTACATCTACCCAATGTGTGTATGGGTATTGAATTAAAAAGGAATACAAAGCTGATTTGTGCAGTGTTTAACAGTAAATCTCTCATTATGTGACAATGATAAGTGACCGTTCATTTAGTATAATTTATTGTGGTTCAGAATGTTTAATCACTTATTTCTTTGACACATTTGTCGCTTCTGAATTCATAATTGGTTGAGGTTGTTAATATTACGAGTGGGTTATTGTATCCTCAAGGTTCATCCCAATATTCCAGACATTTTTATTATCTATCTTTTTCGAGATTTTAAATATTTAATAACTGATATCTTGTTTACCTCACTTTGCATCTTTCCCATTTAATTAACTTAAACTTTATCACAATGTTGCAATGGATATTAATTAAAATTTGTGATGTTATTAATAATCACACAAAAACTTATCAAGTTTATTTAATATCTATCGGAGAATTTTTAACTTTTCATTGAAAGACTTCACAGTCAAATAGTGACAATTTTTTTTATCTTGTTCAAACTTCTTGTTTTTAAGTTTTGATAGATAAAAACATTCAATTGTCCAGTTTGAATTAGACAATTGTATGTAATACATACAAATTAATCAAGATAATTAAGAATAATTTAGATTAAGCAAATGAATCATTCTTGTTATACTTCAAAATATTTAGTTTAACTTTTGCTAAAAAAATTGGAACAAACGGAATACACCCATTAAGACAATCAGACTGCATCTTCTCTGCATTGCCGAAGTAATAGCCATACATCTGGAAAAACCAGAATTGTGTGTGCAAAAGAGACTGTTACAAACTCTTCTTCTACCCATGGTCTTAATGTATTGAAATGTTCTCTTTTTCATACTCTGGTTCCTTTACAGCCATCTGCTTCACCTTCCATCTTCCCTTTAAATCTTCTACCCCCAACCGGTTTGTTTTTATTTCTACGATCATTCGGATTACATTTCATCTGTGTTTCAACATTTTATTTTATCATGCTGAGCCACGATAATTTCCCTATCTATTTTTCGATGGATACTTAAGCCATTAACAATCAAACGATAATTAAATTTTCCTTGTTTTATAAAAAAAAAAGTCTTTTTTAAATACCTTTGTTTATTTAACCTCATTGTTACCATGTCTAACAGAAGTTTATTATCAGTACTATTATCATCCTGTAAAAATAAGTATATATATTTGCGATTGTACAGCTTTGAAAATGAATTCGCCGAAAAGAGAACTCTTCGCTGAACTAATCTTATTTAAAAAATTGAAACATCTATGTTTATTCAATTTCATAAATATTTTGGTATTCATTTTAGACTAGCATTTACTGCTGGTGAAGAAGGACATATGCCTGCTCTTCTTTCAATGGTTAATATTGACCGTTTAACTCCAATTCCATCTATATTGATTGTAGTAAGTCAGTCTTTTTAAATTATCACTTTCTCTATAACATCAATATACCATATTGTTGTGATAATAGATTGCAAGAATTTTTCTAAGATTATATTTCCCTAGGTTAATAAGATTTCTATCCTCTGTAAGACGACAGCCTTTAAGATTATTCATCTAGGCATTTTTCTTATATATTTTCCTATACCGTACTAGTATGTTTTCACATTCTATTTGCTCCCCATAGCTGTGAAGGTAAAATATCATCCGACGGTATTATCTAATGCTTCAGGAAGTTATATATATATATGGTTTAGATCAATTGCTGTTAAACTTATTTGAAACGGCCTAAGATCAGTCATATTCATTGATATTTTATCCTTCCAAGAGTCTCTAATGTAATACTATTCTATACGTTTTGTCTCCTGATTTCTTTGTTTTTGGATTTTCTTTCTATACTGACACAAAACTAGACAACTTTGACACATATTTGTGCAAAGTGTTAAGTAATTTACGTCGAATATCCATGTATCTACTTTTGGGGTACTAGTATGACTGTACTATAAGTAGATGGTTTGATTTCCATGTTAGTTAAGATTTGATATCAAGTATGCCAATCAGTATTTTTTTATTGTTCTCTGTACACTGCATGTAAGATTTCTCGTCAGTTGAATATTCAGCCCAAAACCAAGTATTTATGTCTTCATTTATTTGCATAGGTAACTCTATCTGTAATTTTTCAACTGTTCGATGACATACTTTATTTGATCGAGTTAACGGGATTTGCTTTCTCTGTAATATCTGCGATGGCTGTTTGTAGCTTACTCTACATTCGTCGTACAAATCCTCAAATGAATACATCGGGATTTAAAGTAATTTATTTCTTTGTTCGTAAATTTAGCTCAACAATTATTCAGTTGCTCGACAACTTAAATGCTGAATTGCCTTTTAATTACTACATGTTCTAGGTTTTATATTATTTATTATCTTACCATAACACTAATATATCCCCAACTATATTATATCATAGTTATCCTGTACAAATTAACATGTAAAGGATAATCTTTATGAAATGCTACAATAATAGATAGTTGATATCTAAGGTGAGATGAATTAAGAGAATGGAAGGAGTATATAATTAAAGCAAATAAATGTGAAGTAAACTTTTATGAGGCGGCTTTCAGCAACTATCTGTAAGATAATGATATGCGGAATGCTTATCATGGTTTTATTATTTCTTGTTAATAAGGTTAATGTTTACGTAAACATGAAACCATGCTAGCTAAGGTAATAGTCCACAATGCATTGATTATTTAAAAGTACTATCTGAAATAAAATCTAATTATGTGTTTAAATGTTTTATGTTTCCCTTATTATCATTGATTATTAACATTGATTAAGCAGTATTATAAAGGATAGTATGAGAACAAGCGATTTTGCAAAACTATTAGGATGATTTAAATAATCGAGCTGATTATAGGCTCACTAAACTAAATCCTAAAATTTAAGGCAAACTAATTTAGAAAATTAAAATTACTGTCCAAGCGATTAACTAAAACTCGTCTGTATGCAAACTATTCAATCAAAGTAAATATGACTTATTAGCAGGAAAATAATGAATTTAGGACAGAACTAAGCATCTCAAAATAACCAAATACATCATCACTTCAGTTTATATCATAATGATTATGCATCGTTTTGAAAGGCGTTACCCGGTATTTTATACTCTAAAATCTAAAAATTACTATTTATATGCTAGTTTGTGTTATATTTCTAAAATGTATTTTGGATTATTCAAACATTTAACTAATTATTCTTGATTATTTATCATTTAAATTTTTTCAGTTACCAATTGTTTTTCCTGTGTTGTATTTAATTGTGGACATCGCTATTGGAATCCTTGCAATCTATCAAAAGCCGACAGATTGTGCAATTAGTCTTGGAGTAATGTTACTAGGTGTTCCAGTTTACATTTTTGGGGTGGTATGGAAGAACAAACCAAGATCAATTAGATCTTTAATATGTATGTTATTTCCTTTGACTTTATAATAACTTAGTATTTACTAGGTACGCTTTACATCATAAAGTTTTTTTTAAAAAAAGAATTTAAACCCACTGTTTTTGTATAATTTTTATCACGAAACTGAAATTTCTCCAGTAGTGTAAATTAATTAAAGTGTTCATATGTATTTCAGAGAGCTGAATTTGTCAACTTAATTTTTGTTGTTTGGTTATATGAATAACTAACCTGAGTCTCAGTGTAAATCTAAATAATCTTTTACTATCAAATAATTACCCTGATGTTAGGAAAAAGAGTTCACGGCGTTTGTGTAACAACCAATCGGGGGATAACTCTACATCCGATCTCATCCAAACCGTTGGTTTCCGTCATACTTCGTAGATCGTTCAAAACCCGAGAAAGATTGACTCAAGTAGAGTAGGCTGGTTTTCGCTGTTGTCGAGGATGTATTGATCATATCTTCACCCTCTGCCAAATGTTAGAGCACCGTCATACTTATCACAGGTGGACAATCATAGTTTTCCTTGACATTGGGGCTGCCTTCAATTTGTTGGACAGGACTGTTCTCTGGAGTTGTCTAATGAAGAAGGGTGCGTCTGAGAGGTATATTAACATCTTAAGAGCCCTATATACAAACACCTCGGGTAGAGTGAGAGCATGCAACCACCTCTTTCCACTATTCCATTCAACCAGTGGGGTTAATTATGGTTGCCCAATCTCACCATTCCTCTTCAACTTTGCCATCGATGACGTTCTGGAAACAGCTCTGATGGATGTAGGTAATGGTAGTGTGAATCTGTTGACATCCAGTGGCAACATCATGTTAATAGTGCAAGTGGTTCGGCATTGTGTGTTCGGGCACAGCGACAATAATTTAGTTGGTATTACTATCTTGAAACATCGACTTCGGTGGCTTTGACATGTTCTACGAATGTCATCCCAGAGAATTCCACATTATGAATTATTTGCCGACTCTGGGACCGATCCTGTTGTAAATTTCTTTTACTTTCTTGATAAGAAATGAACGGAACTTCTTTAACTGAAACAATTCTTCCTGGTTGTATTTTTGCTAACTGAATTGCCTCTACCATTATTATTATTTCACTCTCATACACTAATTTCTGTTCGCTATTGTTCCCCTTTTTCTTATATGCTCTTTACTTTCTCTATCTCTTCACATTCTCATTGTTATTATGTGACGCGTATGTATTTGGTGCCCCTTTGTACCAATACTTTTGTGTTAAAACAAATAAATATGGAAAACTTACACATATCTACATATTGATGATCGTATATTCCAACTCTGTTTCAAATTAGATAAGTCTTTTTTCTGTTTTTTTTTCTCATTTTGGTTTGCTTATAACGTTGACTCGACTACGTTTTTGCGAACCCCCACAATTTTATCGAATAAAAGCAACGTTGTCTTTAACTAATTAACTGCTAACATCCGAACTGGTTATATGTAGAGTAGCAAGTACTCACTAATTTAAGCCTTACTATTCATGGGGATTTCAAGCATTATCAGTTGGCACTTACGTGATAAAGTGTATTTTTGCAGAAAATTGATTGCTTGAGTAAACTAAAAATCACTATATATTTTGAAGCTTCACTGATTAAACTGATAAAGAATCAAAAGGTTTATCCAACTAGACGTAACATCTTTGTATACTGTTAACTTAATCAGACAGAAAATTAAAAAGTAAAAATTCAAGAAAAACATATGCGGCTATTCCTATTGTATAAACTACGAATACTACCTAATAGTATGGGAACGAGTGAATATCGTTTGCAATCCGTCGGTTGGGAAAAACGGTAGCAACTCAGGTTCATCCAAAGCTATCATCTGCTAGCTTGGAAGTAGCTCGTATACTTTGGTATTGCAGAAAGTGAATATAACCACACAGTCGTTTACGATAAGGCCATGGGATAGATGGACAGTTGTTTCTGATAGAGACATGTATATAGCTACAGAACTTGAAAAAAAGTATAGGGATACTTTTAGGGATCAAAATTACATTTTTCTTCACAGGGTGATGAGTTTTAACAATTTGACTGGATTTCCACCATTTACTCTCAAATGGATATCTGAATACGTAAGAATATTTCTTGTTTCCCGGTGGTCAATTCTCAAAAATTTCAAATTTCTCTTTAATAAATCATATGTCGTTGCGTGTAGTCTAACTTTGTAATATCATTGTGTGCTTTATTGGACTAGGTGTTCTGTAAATAACAATTATAACTTTTCTTCAGTCAGACTAATGGATTTGATTCTTTCGATTGAAACTTTTAGCTTGCAGATGAATATCTAACAACTGGTATCCGACAAAAACAAAGCTGCATTGGATATGAAAACTTATTACTATAATTGTCAAATGAGCTTATATACTTGTTAAAAACCTGACTAAGTCTATTTTAATTCATATTATTATTGGCATATAGATCGATACTACTTGCTATTAAATAACTCATGAAACAATAAAAAATACTCCAGTACAAATAAATAGGATTTATCCATTAATTTCTCTGACAACTTTCTAAAGACAATTATTCTATTTGAATTACGAAATTAAGAGGACAAAAAGCGAATGTCTGGCGCTTTTACAGGGTTAGTAGATATTCCTGATTTTAAACCAGCGGTGCACATCGGCTCCAGGGTCCTGAAGGAATAAATCGTTGGTCACCGGCTATCATGGGACTTCATCTCCTGACATTGCTCCACTGTTCTGTAGATCAGACGTTTAAGTAGAAGGCTCTGGGTGTGGCCCCCACAAAAAACCACCTGTTTCCATTTGGGCACTCGAGCAGTATCCCAAGTCTCACACAAATCGAATGATTTATATAGCGTATATCTATTTGATGCCTCCTTGTACCAATATTTATGTGTTTAAATAAATAAAATAAAATTTGAATGACAAGTTTTCCTACTTTACTACAATTCATTTTTATTCTCCATTATCTTTTAGATGGTGTCACAATCACTTTCCAAAAAGTTTTAAAAGTTGTTGAACAAGAAAAAGTCTCTGACATATTAGAATTAGATGGTCATTTAAAATCTGTTGGTGATGAACTAGAAATATCATAAAAACATGATGATAATAATAATAATAATAATAAACATTAAATAAAAAGCTGCGCTTTATTCTTGTTCCCATTCAACAAAACAAAGTACATTTTATTTCTATATCTATGAAATTTTCTATTATGATTCTGTCATGAACATTTTTTTAAAAAAATTAAATTATTTTCATTATTCTTTATTATTACTACTACCTGAATTATTTCTGCTGAATATCATTGCTTCTTTTCTTTTTCTTTTAAAAAAGAAAAAAAAGAAAAGAAACAATATTGCGCCTAAAATTACACTTGAAATTCATTCAATCAAAATATTGTTTCTATCATTTGTAAATTGAAGGTAACATTTTGTTTTAGTTGTTTGTTGGTTTGTTTGTTTTCATTTTTCCATAGAATGCAATATAAAACATTATGCTTATTCATTTGATGTTGTGTTGCAAAGAGATTTTTTCGCTTTTTTTTTATTCTTAAAGACTTATATTCAATTTGTTGACATCTTCATTGCCAGTTTTATTATTATTTTATCTTTGTGAATTCTTATTTTTTAATCCTAGATAGGTACGTTTTTCTTATTCTTTAGGTGATTCACCTTATATGATCAGTAGAATAATTTTCTTTTCTTTTTAAGAAAAAGTTTTTTGTATATCCTGAATTGCTTTGATATAGATCCTTTTTAATGGATTGCAAATTCATGTGTATGTATATAGTTTATACACAAAATTCTTGATAATTTTGAATTAATAACTAAATATAATTGGCCATTTGTAAAGATTTATTCAAGTTTATGATTAGCTAATCATTGATTAGTAACTAACGACTTGTTTGTCTGTCCTTCAAACTCTCTGGTATGGACGAGGATGAGGAGAGTTAGCTCTACCTCCTCAAATACTCTCACATGGCCACGCGTATACAACCACTTCCAGACACGTCATACTCATTGCTTTCTCGTAGCGTTACTGTTGTTTACGAAATTGAGAAGACACAAATCGATTGTCTGACGCTTTAACAGGGTTGGTGGACACTGAAGAATCACCTAGTGGAGTTGGAAATCCCTCTTTCTAAACTAATGGTTCACATGGGTTCCAGGATCCTGAGGGAACAAATAGAGTATGAATCAACAGTTGTTCACCGTCTACCATGGGATCGCATCTGCCGACATTGCTCCATTGCTTTATGGATCAGACATTTATGTCGAAGTCTTTGGGTGTGGTCCCCACAGAAAACCACTTGTATCGGTGTGGGCACTCGGGCAGTATCCCAGCCCACACACAAATCAAGGGACTTGTGTGTGGCGCATATATATTCGGTGCCCTTGGTACCAATATTTGTGTTCAAATAAATAAATTTATGTTCTCTACATACTTACTACCGCATGTTACCCCTAATGGTGGATTACAGGTCGAACATCAGCATTTTCCATCCAACTCTGTCCTGGACAATCCTTTCCAGTTCTTCACAGTTGCTATTCGTCCTTTTCATGTCTGCTTCCAATTACCAACGCAGTGTATTTGGTCTTTCTCCTTTCTGTTTCCCTTCACGACTACAAGTTTGCGCATGCCTCATGATGCAGGTTAATGATTTCCACAATGTATGTCCTATCCACTTCCAACGTCTTTTCCTAGTGTCTTCTTCAGACAGAAGTTGGTTTGTTCTCTCCCACAGTAAGCCGTTGCTGATGGCATCTGAACAGCGGACATTGAGTATCTTGCGTAGACAATTGTTTATAAATACCTGTACTCTTTTAACGATGGTTGTGGTAGTTCTCCAAGTTTCAGCTCCATACACTCGAACTATCTTGACATTCGAATTGAAGATTCTCATTTTGATATTGGTTGATAGTTTCTTAGAGCTCCGTATGTTCTTCGATTGTACCAATGTGTCCATTGCTTTGTCGATCCTCGCCTTTACTTCTGCATTGGATCATCCATGATGATGCTGCCCAACTACTTAAAAGATTCCACCTGGACCAGAGTTTCTTGGTCCGACAGAGTTTAGTTCTGTTGTAATAAAGGCATAAAAATGACAAGTCTTCAGTGATATTTTCCTAAACATTGCATAGAAACATGAACAGTTATTTCAAAGGCGAATAACATACATGCATATACATATTTTAAGCTTCACCTGATCCATTAAAAAATCATCTAATCACAATAAAAAAACGAACACTTTTGACTTCATCTTAGCATTAACTCCTGTTAAAATATTCTATAATCATCAATAGTAGTCTCACAGTGAATGTTTGTTTTAAGATGTTTCTTCGTTCTCGGTATGTTACAGCAGAATTGTCACGCTTCATAAAATCCAACTGTGTTATAATAATTTTTAACAAGTTGTTAATCTTTAAATATATAACTTGTTTTTTTTAGTAAATAGTAAAGCCTAGCATCAATGTCCTATGCCGCTTGGTTTAAGTCATACACTTCATTTGTTATGAAGCTACCATCAAAAAGGATAAATATCTGAAAATCCTATTGTCCAATTTTAAGTTTTGAATTTTCAATCTCACTTGTCAATACCAAATCATAAGACTAGGATTACTATCACTAACAATGAAATTTTTCAGTTTAGAGGTTGTGAAGGTAGTTAAGTTTTCTTGATTGAGGTCATGAACCGATTGATGTTAGACCACCATTGAAAACCTGGAAGCACTGGACGGCCGTTTCGTCCTATTTTCTCATGAAGCTAGTCACTAGTGAGTACATGGTAATTATCAGTTTAAAGGTTGTGGAGAAAATCCTCGGAGTTCTGCTGAGAAGCCGTGACCAGTGGAGCTAATCCGTGTCGGGTAGAGACAGGTATCTACCTCAGTACAATGGAAGTTGGTCGCGCAATTTCGTGGATAGGTTGATGTTAGACACTAACACCATTGGATGCCGGCTCAGTGGTCTATTTGGTTAAGCGCCTGGCGCGAGACCGATAGGTCCTGGGTTCGAATCTCGCAGGGATCGTGGAGTGGCACTGCTGAGGAGTCCCAAAATAGGACGAAACGGCCGTCCAGTGCTTCCAGGTTTCCAACGGTGGTCTAACATCAATTGATTTATGATCTCAATCAAATACATTAGTAATAGTTTTCTCAAAGAAAAATCAAGGTTTGTATTTATTTTATTGCATGAGTGTATAAAGGATGATTGAACTCTTATTGCCTGTATTTACTTAGTTCACATATGATTAATATAAATTGTATAGTTAAAATTCAATCTCTACTGAATCATTACGTTACTCATCTTTAACTGGTTATAATTATAAATTAATGAAAGTCATTGTTATTAACTTCAATTATTTTAATGTCATAAAACACTTTGCTTCACTGTCATGACCTTCGACATAAAAAAAACACTAGTAATCGGATACAGATAACATAGAGTACGTGATTAGAAAAAAAAAGTGAAAAAAAAGCGTCTTAACGACAAATAGTTAATTTCATAATTATGAAGTTAACTGGACCGTTTTTGCAAATGTAACAAGAAAATTTAATAAATAATACGAAATTTCGAATCATGGCTAGTAGTGAAACTTTAGACATGAATTTCATCTTATATAGAACTTGTAAGCTCAGTTTACCTGATTTGCAAATTACATATATTATTAGATTGCTCTAATTATTCAAAGTATTTTGAATATTTTTTTGATTGAGATCATGAACCGATTGATGTTAGACCGCCGTTGGAAACCTGGAAGCCGTGACCAGCGGGGCTAATCCATGTCGGGTAGAAGATGGTCACGCAATTTCGTGGATTAGTTGAAATTAGACATGAACACTGTTAGATGCCGCCCAGCTGAGTAGTCTAATGATTAAGCATTCGCGAGCGAGACTGAAGGCCGTGGGCTGGAATCTTACGAGTGGGATCGTGGATGCACACTGCTGAGGAGTCCCACAACAGAACGAAACAGTCATTGGTTCGTGATCTCAATCAAAAACCCAATAATCTCCACAACCCCTATACTGATATTTTGAATATGACAGATTCTTAACTAAAATAAAATCCGTTTACAAAGATTAACTGCATATTTACCTCAAATTGTTCTTCAACTAAACTGAATTATTTAAAAACCGATAATCAATTAGATTTCGTACAAAAAATGTCACCACAATCTAATGAGTTTCGACATAAAATTACTAATAATCGACATCATCATGAAAATGTTTTAAAAAATAACTTAACAATCATGTAGGATAAATAAGATTATATATAAGAATTATGCTTAGAATAATCAGTTATTTCATTGAAGAAGCTTGAACCAGAATTTATTTATTTGTTTATTTTATTTGAACACATAAATATTGGTACCAAGGGCACCGAATATATATGCGCCACACACAAGTCCCTTGATTTGTGTGTGGGCTGGGATACTGCCCGAGTGCCCACACCGATACAAGTGGTTTTCTGTGGGGACCACACCCAAAGACTTCGACATAAATGTCTGATCCATAAGGCAGTGGAGCAATGTCAGCAGATGCGATCCCATGATAGACGGTGACCAACTGTTGATTCATACTCTATTTGTTCCCTCAGGATCCTGGAACCCATGTGAACCATTAGTTTAGAAAGAGGGATTTCCAACTCCACTAGGTGATTCTTCAGTGTCCACCAACCCTGTTAAAGCGTCAGACAATCGATTTGTGTCTTCTCAATTTCGTAAACAACAGTAACGCTACGAGAAAGCAATGAGTATGACGTGTCTGGAAGTGGTTGTATACGCGTGGCCATGTGAGAGTATTTGAGGAGGTAGAGCTAACTCTCCTCATCCTCGTCCATACCAGAGCATTTGGAGGCCAGGAGAAACGTTAGAATTAATTAAATTTGAATATAATTCTTACATAGAATTTTTTTCTACATGTATGGTGCTTAATTTCTATCAAATTGTTTTGTTCGAACTTTGATGAATATTTCGTATAAAGTATTATACAATTGAATTAAATTATTAATTGAATTGCACACGTATCATAATTAACGAGTATTTAATCTACGTTGTTTAAAACAAAATATCTGTCGTAGAATAGATAATATGTCTTATCATATGGACTTACTAGATAATGTGACCAATGTATTTATTTAATTTAGTATTTTTGTGATTGTTTATTGTCTGTTTCGTACCATATAAATCTCGTGTGTTGCTAATCATAATAATCATAACAGCCCTTCAAGAATGAATACTATAAATTGAATCTTTTAAACGTTTAGCAAAGTGTTTATAAGTCAATAAAGTAATCATTCAATGGCTTACTTAAAAGTATACAAATATACCCTGTTCAAGTTTATTATACCTGTCAGTGTTTGTTGATAGTTAGGGACATTAAGAATACGACAAAGAAGTATATACAATGAGTTGAAGCAGCAAAACTACCATCGTAGGTTTGGCTATCCCCATGGCCAAGTGCATGAAAGTCATGGTCATGTGTTCATGCTGATTTTTCTGGATCAATAAATGATCAGAACATCTTAATCATCGTCAAGTTGTTTACAAAATAGCTCGAAATTTTCTTAACGCATCAATAATCATGGTTCTGAATTTGAGTTTCTGGAAACGCCCCTTATGGAAAACGGGCCTCAGTTGACACTTGAAATCTTGAGTTTCTGTTTAAAGAATGCGTTTGCACACAATCGATCACTCTATGACCCTCAGTCAAAAGGCCACCTTGAGAATTTCATTAATGCACTGAAACAAGTTCTCATCATAATATAAGGGGAGGACATAATGAAGGAACCATCCACAATTCACTGGAAACACAAAGAACGACTCCTAAAAGTGTCCTCTTAGAGGAAGCAATGTTCGGGAGAAAGGTTCGCACTTCATTTAACGCCATG